CACTTAGCCTAGAACTTCATGCGGTTTTCCAACGGCTCTCCTCCATGCTTTACAGTTAAGGTCAGCGCAAACCCAAAGCCAAAGCCCAGCTGAGCTCAGCCGAGCTGATCTGAGTTAGTGAGTGAAGCTGTGAGCGCTGACAGGTTGCTGGTGTGTGCCTGGGCCTGTGCTGTGCCTGTGCCCATGATCTCAGGCCCATTCCCTGTCCGTGGAATGGTGTTGAATGTTGAGCACGATCATTTGCATATGGCAAGCCATAAAATTGATGCGCTATGAGCGATGGACAGTTGTCTCTGTCTCTGTCTCCGTCTCCGTCTCTGTCGTGGCTCAGTTGTCAGTCCACGGCACACAGTCTCTTCTTGTTTTGATTTATGCGATGCGCTTGCACACATCGCTCACTTGTCGTCAGCGTTGTCGTTTGCCAGATATCATATCACAGATCGAGCTGCACACATCAGGGCAGCGATTAAGCAATATGTTTTTGCAATGTAAATCGTTAGTTGTCTTGCTACAATCCCACACAATAGAGATGGGCAAGTAGCGTGACTGTGATTATGATCTTTCGACAGGGAGCGATATGGCTCGCAAATAGAGGTTTGTTCAAAAGAACAGGTGAACGTTTTCCCCACTCTTTCTTCGATTACAATACATCATGAGTTCTTGCCAACAAGTCGTACAGTTAATAAGGAATACTACAGGGAACATTATTATATATACAAGGTCTGTTCAAAAGAAAGGGTGAATTCTGAATTCCTTTGAAAGGCATTTTTTGTACTCTTCAAAGCTATCCCCCTCATATACATATAATTCACTTATGCGATAGCCCTGCGCCTTTTTCCTATTCCCAAAACTGAAAAGACCAATTGATGAGTTAAAATCAAGATCGAAGAACGAAAGCGCATTTCTGAAGTGCTTCGAGAATTGGAAGAAGCACTGTACATATAGATTCAATTCAGACATACAAGATTCCATAATGAACGCTGCTTTTCGTTCGAAAGTTTTCAGCCCTTGGAAGTACTCAAGGAGTGAATTAATCTGCTCCCGATTCAAGACTGAATATGACAATAATGTGGGCTTAACCTGGATGCATAGGTTGTCACGCGGCCATCCCTGGGCTCAAAAAAAAAATTACAACAACACCCGCAATGCGCACTTATCGTTCGCTAATCTGCCAGCTGATGTTACGAAATCGCGCTGGTTCGGCTTTCATGTGTGTGTGTACGAGTTACCAAGATTAATGTTGATGCTTTTTCAATTACAACTCTGGCAGCATACAAATTTGGAGTAAAACGTAATCGTCGTAATCTCAGACGTCCTAAACGACAACTGCGACAACAGACAGCCATAGCTTTTGCTTTAGCCATGGCTTGAATCTGTGGCTTGCCTTCCTGCCTGCCTGCCTGCCTGCCTGACTGACTGACTGCCTAAGTGGCTGCCTAGCTGCCTGCCTAGCTGCCTGGCTGGCTGCCTGTGCCGCCACCAGCGTGGCCCCAACTCGGTATTGGATTTCCTAATGTTTGTTTTGCATGAGTATTTTCTTTTTAGCTTTTTTGTTGTTTGGCTCTTTGGTTGTTTGGCTGTTTGGCTGTTTGGTTGTTGTGTGACATGCGCCGGCACTGATTGCCTAGCCTGGCAATTACAAATACCGCGACTTGTATCATTGCCCGCCATCGATTGTGAGTCCACATACTCGTATGTTGGTGCATCGATCGCTTACAATTTCGATCGCATCTTGTCGCATAGGTTTTTAATAGCTTTAAGCCTAACTCGACTTTGTTAGTCAATTCCAATTTGTTATCGCATCGTTTGTGTGTCCATATGTTGGGGTTCCACTTTGTTTTGGCCCCGATCCTGATCCCCAGCCCGGCACCAGGCCCAGCCTAATGTGCTGGCATTTGTCTATAACATTTAGTGGCGCATGACGCGCTCAGTAATGCGAGACACAAGTTGGCCAGTGATTCGAATATTTTGGTCATCGACTTACGGCTGCAGTTTTCAATCAAAGATTTGCGATTTGCGGCGATTTAAACCGATTGCGACTTGACTCAAGAGCCGACGAATTGTGCGGTAGCCGCATCTCTAGCTGGTTGTAGGCGTTGCCACTGATGAGGCTGATGCTGAGCGCTGATTAGCCTTTGGATTTTCTAAACAAAACGCTGCCGTAAGATGCCACCGAAAGCGCACAAAGGCCGTTGCAACAATTGCGGCAAAGATCAGACGGATCGCTCTACTTGAGCCCAGAGAATTGTGAAAGTATTGCCAAATGATAACTGTCAAGCGTCGGGTCAAAAGGTGATGGCATTCCAAGGAAACCATTCCAAGTCTGCCGCTGACATTGCGGCATTGGCTTTTTGTTGTCGTCTTCGGTTTTTATGCAGTTTCATCATTTGACCTTTTGTGGACGTGTTGTCTGGCCAAACGAGACTGCCAGGCGACAGGTACACGCTTTGTCTCCGTTCTCAAGCTGCGCAAGGTGTTCCTTCTCCCGGGCCCTCACTTCGTTGCACTCTGGCGGTCTTTGTCAATGGTTTTGCAATCGCACGAATGCAGTGCTCTGATTACGACGAAAACAAAAACAACAACAACAAATGTTTCGTTCATTTTTTGTAAAGGTGATGTTCCTGGAAGCTGTTTCTATAGATTGGGCCTAGTTTGGATTAGTTATGTGCAAAAGGTGTTGCCAATAATGTATAATGCGTGTTTTATTATATTAGTTCTGCACGCCAAAGAAAGTTTCGGCAATAGCGTAGTTCATCTAATGGTTTACAATAAAGTGCTACTTTTTTTAGATTTGTTAGCCCTTGACCCTAACTTGAAATCATGCGGATTCTTTCAGCATGTTCTTCTAATTCTAGTCCACTGAGAACTTTTTCAAAATTCCTTTTCTAAATAGGCTTATGAAACCAGGAATTCAAATCAAATACATACGCAGTTGCGGATGAACTTAAAATTGATTTATATACATTCTTATGTAATATTATAATGTTTATAACTTCTTTGAATAACATTTTTTAAAACATGATTTGGTATATTAAACACTTTCTCTTATTTCTTAGCATAAACTATTTCGTTACATATTTAGATATTTTAGAAATATATTGAACCAATCTATAATAAACTAAATATGAATAAATAAATATAAATATATATGATAACCCAATCTATTACATTTTATATATTGAAATACAATTTCGATATTTTTTTAAAAATATAAAAAGAAAAAATTTTTGGCTTCTGAGGAATTTTTAAAGAATTGGTTTTGAATTTTGTTTGGCTAAAAGAAAACGAAACAAATGGGTTTAACCTCTCTCTACTCTCTCTAACAAATCTAGTAACTGTAATTATAATATTCAATTGGCATGAGTTGTGAAAATAGATGAGTGTAGGGGTGATAAAACCTTTTAATATGTATATAAATAAATAGTAATTTTTGGCTTAAAAAATGGTAATATTTTTAAAGTAAGTAAGACAATAGACTGAGTGTTGATAGAAATGCTTCCTTTTGAACGCATTTTTCCATAATAATAATGTTATCACTTTGCATAAGTTTTTATAAGAAAATCTTACAAAATAGACTTTGTAAACCCAAAACATTGGGCCGCTCACTATTTTCATGATATTTCTGCAAGTATACCTGTTGTCTGCTGATTACCAGCAGACAGGTAAGCCATTCAATAGAACAACATTATTATGCAAACACAAATCAAATTTCGAAAGGACTTAACTCTTATCTTGGTGCGTAGACAGGCATTCAAAATCCTGTGTCGACAGCAGCAGTTCGTCGTCCTGTTTTGGCGATAGAGAGACGACGCCACTCGTCATTGGCACTCAGTGCCGTCTGGCGTGTCCGTCAGCCATCAGTCAAACAAATTTCGATAAGCAGCCGTCGTACGTCTACGTTTATCACCTGCGCACTGATACGAGTATGCCAACAGGGTACAGGTCAGGACGCATGCGCCAACATCCTTTGGGCAAATGTTAGGGCAAAGGATTGCGGAGAAGGACACAGGAAACGTGCATTGAAAGTGAGTGATTTGCTTGCGCTCGCCTGGATTTAGGAAATTGTCGTCTCGATCGGCAGCTTATTAAATATTTGCACTTGGCAAAGGTGCAAATTTTCGGGACCTTGATATGAATTGATGAAATATTAGGGGCGGGTTAAAGGAAGTGCCTGAAATTGAAAGTGTGCGTGGTTGCTATTTGCCATCGAAAGGTGTTCCTTGATAGAATTTGATATTATATTTGAAGTTGGGCTTTGTTTGGGACTTTGAGGGTTAGGCAGTTAGGAAACTGCGGAAATTGGGTTTCGAATGAAGGGGATAGAAAACAAACAAATGAGAAAATGCAGCAGAACAGGCATTTTTGAAGAGGATCCCTTGAGAGCACTCAAAGGGAAGGTTCGTTAAAAACTCTGCATTCAACAATCTTATAGAAAAATATTAATTTTTCAATTACCGATTGCAGGTACGTTCAGTACCAGTACCAGTTTTTGAAATGAGAACTCTCGAAAGATTTGTATTTTCTAATTTTTATTTTCAGAAGTGTTTACAAACTACTGCAACATTTGCTTAAACTACAAAATGTAATAATAAAAATGGCATTGATGATAATAATATTGAATAATTGAACTAAATTGTAAGATTTGGTCAGATGCTGTGGTGATCATGAAATTTACACGAACTTTGCCAATGGACTAGACGATCCAAGTGTGCAATAACTAGAAAATAATACTTAGGACTAAATATTTCTATGGCTAAGAAAAATAAATTAGGAGTTTCATAAGTTAAAAGAGCTTAACTACTTGTATAGCACCAAAAACGAGTCAACTTAACTTTTCTACAAACTAATTAGATGTGTATTGTCTGCCCAGAGCGTAGTTTGGTTTTGTTTGGATTGGTCTGGTCATCTATCCTCGCCAGCGGAATGTCAGCTTTGGTTCGTCGATGCAGCACACAGTCAACGTGGGCTGTCCTTTTTGCGATCCTCAAGCGATGCTCAGTCTACGCAATTGTGATGGTGCAATTGGAGCTGATGTGCTTGTTGAGGAGCGACATGCGCGAGAAGGACTTGTGGCAGACCTGGCAGGCGTATTTCTTCACATCCACATGGGTCTGTTGATGGGCACGCAGATTGGAGCGATCGGCAAAGGAGCGCGGACAGTCTGGGCACTGGAAGGGCTTCTCGCCGGTGTGTGTGCGGATATGTCCCTGCAGCAGCCAAGGACGCGAGAACGCCTTGCCGCAGATGGGGCACTTGCAGGGCAGTGTGTGGGTGCGAATGTGCATCTTAAGGGCGCCCACTGAGGTGTACATCTTGCCGCACTCCTCGCAGGAATGCTGCTTCTTCTCCTGATTGCATTCGGCGGCTGGGCAATGGAATTGCTGATGCTTAGACAGGCCCATTGAGGTGGAATACATCTTCTGGCATTTGTCGCACTTGAAGCGGTAGTTCTTGGATGCGGCGCTGGCATTATTGGCTGGAGCGGAGGCTGCGGCTGTGTAGGATCTATAGCTGGTGCTGGCCGAGACTTCATCAAAGTTGTGGAAGAGTGCCGGCAGCGGAATGTCACTGCGCACCGAGAGGTCCTCGGGTTCGGATGAGGCATCCGAGCCGGGACTCGAAGGTGGCGTCATATGCTGGTAACTGTAGACGGAGTGCGGCGAGGCTGCGGAGGCAAACGAATTGGCTGGCGATGGGAAGGCAGCGGCGAGATGTCCGTTGATGTGTGGCTGGTAGCTGCTCCACAGTGCAGAGATGGGATTGCAGCCAGCGGCCATGACAAAGGCAGACTGATAGGGATTGGTAGTGTAGCCGGCCGTAGCTGGAGTCAGTCCTCGCATGTGGATATCGGTTGGCGTTTGCTGGTGCTGGTAATCCGTGGGTTCAACCGGTGGTGAGAGCAAGGCAGAGCAGAGTGGCTCGCTCTTGATGATGGCCCGCATTGGTGGTGTGGTTGGACGTTCAGTCTCTGGCACCTTGGAGAGATTCAGCACATATTCACGTTTTGCTGGTATCTCATAATCCTCAAAGTCATCGTTGGCTTTGCGCTTGAGGGACAAGTCCTGGGGCTGTTCCTCCTGCGGCGCAGCAATGGGAGCGGCATAGCTCAACTGGTCGGTCTTGGTCAGGGCCAAGGCTTCAGTTTGAGGCTGATGCTGTTTCTCCTCCAAGAAGACAAAGGGGCGTTTCTTCAATGGACAGCTCTTGTAGTTGGTAGCCATTGTATGAGTTAGTTTTGTATGCGATTTAGTAGAGATTGGTGTGGTGGTCGTAGAATTCCAAAATGCACGGAGCGCTTTCACTGTTCTGTTAGTTTGTTCCGAGCACTATTGAGAGAGATCGAGTTGCTTACTCAACGAACGCTGAGGTTGCTGTGACAGGTTAAGCCCGAGTGCGCTCTATTTATATGCCTGCGCGCTCTGCCGAAAACGGGGCTGCTGCTGCCGTCCATGGTGGTGGTTCTTCTTCACCGCACACGCACACACTCACACACACACACACAGTAACACTCATATGCAGGCAAACACGGAGAAGCACGCGCACGTGTGCCCAGCCTAGGTAGCAACAACAACAACAACAACAACAACCACAAGAACAACTTCAGTTTTCCCATGCCTGCCCTTATTGCGTGTTTCCCATTCGCCGCCGCCGCCGCTCTCTCTCCGCACTCTCTCTCCCTCTTACACACCTTCTACCTGGCTCTCTTCTCTCTGTGCATTAGGGAAAAACGCTTAGAAATCCCTGAGTCCTCAATTCTCTGGGCATCCAAAGGCATTGAGGATTTCACACCATTGTTGGCGCCCTTATATTGGAGGGCAAGCAGGCTGATCAGGTACTGATCCAAGCCCCCTATCTGCCTAACCTCATAACTTATGGCAACTTCTCGCTTTCTGCAGTCAGAATCAGCTTCACTCTCCGGCAGATCTTTGTTCACGGGCTTCTCTTATTTCCGTACATCCGTGCTGTAATAACTCGTCAAATATCTCTCCCCCGGCGGCAGCACATGACGCCGCCCGTTTTCATTTATCAAAGTGACTTCAACCACTTTGTTGGCTCGTCAATCTCTCATACACAAACACACAGATACACTAACACATGCGTGTGAGACTCGCACACCCATGCGCGCAGGTATCATCAGTACTCGGAATTTTTGTTTCATTTTCGCTTCGTTTCGCTAGCATGTTGGAGTTTCTATTTTTACGCGCCGGCATTTCCCAGTGTCGAATTGGATTCTGGAATGCCCATCGAGGTCTCAGGGTGGTTTCCTCTTCGGTCTGATAGTGGTGCAGTTTCCAGTGGCACTCGTACTCTATGGCATTTTTAAGCTACGCCGCTGCGTTTGCGCGCTAAGTGCGCTGGCCACCTTTGTTCGCCTCCACGGCAAACATCTGCCCATGGTGCCTGCCAGCCTGCCAGCCTGCCTGTTCGGCATTTGTTTGCCCTGCGCCGAAGGGGAGTTGAACCTGAGCCGCCGTAATAGCAATTGCTTACACATATAGTATTTGTATGTAAAATTGACACCTAAACGGGAGAGAGCGTTGTTATGCTAAAATTAGAATTGGGAATAATTTAAAGTGCATAACTATGCGCAGAGCGGAATATCGGTTTTCTCCAGAGGGAGTCTAACTTTAAAGTTTAGTATACTATTCAGAGCGAAACATAATTCGTATGGCTCTGGCTTTCATCTTTGATCCGTTGACTATTTAAAATTATGAGATTAATCTTATTACTCTAACTACTAACTATCTACTAATTAGTACAATTGAAGACTTAATATTATTACTTTTTCTGCCAGATAAGTCGGTGCACTTATATTTTTCGTTAGATATTAAAATGCAAGGAAAAAATATTTATTATAAGCTCTTCTGACATACTGATGTCTTCATGGTGATAATACATATATAATGGAAATAATTAAATTACCTCTAATTATGTTTTTACACGGTCTTTTTTATCGATTTCGATGTAACCGTGTTACGGTTTGAAAATTAAAAATTTCATATTTATTTCTTTAGAGATAAAGATGTCTTTTTTTACACGGTTGTTTCTGGAACCAATCTACCGTGTAAAAACAGACTCAGGTGTACTTAAAACCAGATGAGATAGCAGTATCCAAATATTTTAATACTGAGTTCAACTTTTTAAGCGTTGACTTGAAATGTCTTGGGTAAAGCTAGATCTCTCTTCTACATTTCAAAACTGCAACCCAAAATTTAATTTAAAAATAATCACAAGAAGTAATGAAACGAATTACAAAATTCAAAGATTCCCTTTAGAAATTCGTTCTTTCGGAGCAACCAAACTCAAGCCCCATCTCAAAAACATCTTTACTTATAGTATAGAAAGGCAGAATTATTTAAAACATTTTCCATTTCCTGGGAGCAATATCCTGAAAGCCCCTAAACATGGTTTCAGAACAAACATTGTAATAAACCCAAAATCGACGACTTTCACACAAAAGGAAGGCTTTTTGTTCATTTTTTCCCACCCAATCAAACCCACTCTTGGCACATGGAGGCATGGCCATTGCTTGGCACAAATATTATCCTCCGAGAGGACTTTCTACCCGAATGAAACAACAGCAAGCCCGCATAGCCAAGTCCCACAATAACATTAAACTAGTTTTCCCAGGCTGGGTGAAAAAACCAAATCAAAAATACATATATGTTGGATATTTACCCAGCCGGGGCCGTACTAGCGATGCGCATGCGCGGCGTAGTGCAGTTCTTTCCCAAGAAGTGACAAAAAATTCCAAGTGCGGAATTCAAATTCTCCCGCAATCGAACCGGGCTGACCGGACAGCTGACCAATTGTCGCTCTGCGCTTCGCATGGGTGTGATGGGAAAAGTTGTGTATATTCATCCAACCCGCATGCGCCGCGACACGGAAAAAATGAAGTATTTCGTACTTTCCCTATGATGGATTTCCCTTTACCCAGGCGCGCACACACACACACACACACACAAAGGCACAGTGTCCGGATATGGATCAAGATTGGATTTGAAGTAATTTCCCAGCTTATCCAATTACGCAGTCAGCAAAACTCAAGCAAAATAGCCAACCAAAACGCCGCGGCACGGGAAATATCCGTATGTCCCTATACGTGTAGGCATACCTGCCGGGGCCATACCCGCGAACTCGGTTATTACGTGTGTTATTCCGCGCAATTAATGCCAGGACAAGGTAGCGGCACCTCATCATCCACTGCCTTACTACCTACTAATAATTATTATGCTAATGCGCACTCACATCCAGAAGTTCCTGGCCCTTCCCACAATAGGGAAAATCGCTGCCCGCGAAATTACCCGCAGCCCATTTTCATTCATGTCGCGGAAAGTCCTGCGCAACCCGTCTTTCCCTCGCACTTGTATACACCGAAATTGGCAAAATACCTGCCAGTTCCGGGCTGGCCCGCTCATTAGCATTACTAGAGGTGGCAATACGGGTAGGTGCATTATTGCTGACATCATTCAGCGCGTGCAGGGAAAACCCTTTTCAATACTCGTACGAGTATTTGCCTCGAAGCCGAGTGCCTTTGGCTTGCTGCACCGTTAGAATTATTGCAGGTGCGTCTGCGGGCCTGGATTTTCTGACTGCACCGAGATTTTCCTTTCTTTTGCACACTGCCTGAGGCTTGTTGTAGTTTTTGCAGACAATGGGTTCGTCCTATTTTTGCACCTTGTGCCACAGTCTCTATTGTACTTCAGCATATTGTTACTAGAGGGGCGGCACAGTGGTGTAGAAGGGGGCATCAAGAAATACCGAAACTATATCTCCGTATTCCGCCATAATCACACTTTCAAGTGGCAAACATCTATCAAATACTTTTATCAACTCTTTATGCGAACTCTCTTCCGCTTCAGAAGCGAAAACTGCTTTCCCTAAAACCTTTATAAGGCATATTCATAGGATTCTTAGTCTCCTTGCCTTACCCTGCTCAACAACGCCTCTGTGTTTACCTCGAGCCCGGTGCACTGGCGCACCTTTTGCCAAAAAATAAAAGAATAGAGCAAAATACCAGCAAAGAAAACAAACTATAGCCGAAGATATACGATGTGTGATGTCGTTGACAATGAATGGTTGATTACTGCCCGAAAACGAAAAATCTTCGAGCAACTGCCTACGTAGTTCCCTTGTTGTTGTTGTTTTCGCAGATACCCGTACATACATACTATGCGTACAAAAGAACTTCAATCCATAAATCGAAATCAAGCAAAAGAAAAAGAAATCACTGCCACGGGCCGGTGTGCGTTGCACAATCAATAGGCAAGGACCTCCTCGCACAATAAGCGAGCGAGCGCACACATTGGAGTAAATGTTTTGAAAAGCCAACGAAAGGAATTGCTTCCAGGAATCTGCCGCCAGTGGCGTATCAATGTCCTTAGCCAGAAGAAATCAAAAAGTTGGATCACCTGGCCGCATCGTCTGTATCGTCTGTCCGCGATTATGTGCGGGTGCCGCTCAATCGCGCTACCTGTGGCCCATTGTTCTCGCCAAAAAATTGTGAATGACCCCATATACTATATAGGAGTATGTATACCTTCTATATATAGTAGTATGTACCCCAAGAAGCAAAAAGCGTGCAGTGGCTCTTTGTCGTCGGTAGTGGCTTCGTACACTTGCCAGCTGCTGACTTTGGATCGGGGGGTAGACGAGCGCCTTTGTTGGGACATTCGCGCAGGTTTCGTGCCTATTCATGCTTCGTTATCCTGTCAATACGCGGGCATTATTGTTGTCAACGTGTCGTTGCCGTTGTCATCATCATTCGGTTCCTTCTACGCTCTTTTTACTAAGCTGATTTGATGCGTATTGCGTGTGTCCATGTCCTCCTGGAAATAGGTTTTATGTTGGGGCCAAATGTTTAGCCTATTAAGTGTGTCGCCTAAATGGTGTGTGTAAATATTTCACGGCATTATAGTGACAATTTACTAATACACTAAGAGCAGGAAGTAGTTAACAGAAACTAAATAGCTGGACTGGATACTAACAATGATGCGCTCATTAGTCCAACTGAGCTGTTCACTCCAATCTTTAGGTTTTATATTTTAGATTGATTTTTGATTGGGTAGCTTTTTGCAATCGCTTTCGTCCAATCGTCTACCTAAAAAGAGATATTCCTTATCTCAAGTATCTTAAACGATGGTTACTTCTTCATTAACAAGCTGAACTGTACGTATATTTGAACAATTACGGGAAAGATTACTTGAGGCTGAAAGAGTAGGTTCTCTTTGTAGGAGGTCTGACATAGACGCAATTGTAAAATTAATTGCAATGACGGCCCCATCTACCTTTCCCAGGAATGCAGAGAATCCTTAAAACTAGAACCTGCTTTGAGGAAGCTAAAGATGTGTGCATAGAAGATGTAATTGTCATCATATTACAATCCTTCTATGGAGAGTCAGGATCTTGGTTGTTTCTCAGATGACGGCTCTTAGGCAGGTCTTATTTTAAGTTTTTTTTTTATCTCTTTTCTCTAAGCTGGGAATAAGAGAAGCCTATTATGGTTTCATTTTTTCTTCGCAACTCATGTGATTAGTTTCTCAATTTTTGAATTTTCATCTCTTTTATGAGGAATGTGTATTGCTGGCCTAATTTTTTTATACAACAGTTAAAGTATCGCAGCATTTTTACACCTTTTGGTTCCACAGCGTTACAAACTTGCCAGCCTGCAAAGGCAAAAAATCAGAACAAATAGCGACAGAGACTCATTGCACCGGGTGGGTCAACAATGTGGCTAGAACTGCTGACGGAAACTAAAAGGAAGAGGAACAACAGCAACGAAGACGATGACGACGTCACATCTGCGCCTGGCAGCAAAAATCAGTTTTGAAATATTGTCAACCTTGTCGTCTTCGTCTTCGGGTTCGGGCTCGCTTTTAGCTTCCGATGCTGATGCTGAGGGTGTTGGCTGCAGACCGCGCGTTGGTGGCTCGGCAGCTGCTCCTTTGGCGCGTCTTGTACTCTGCTGGTCCTGGCCCAACGATTTTGCAAGGAATCTCTGTACCCTGACTGATGTGCATCTGTGTGCACAGGCAGTCAGTTAAGAAATTTATGTAGTTGTCGAGTTCGAGTTCGAGCTCGAACTCGGACGCTGACTTGCATCTGCGCACGTCTGTGTATGTGTGTGTGTGTGTGTGTGTGTGTGTGTGTGCCACACAAAGGACAGCAAATATAATTCAAGCAAAAGGAAGAAAGGCAAGAAAAAACATCATCATAATAATAATCACAGCCCGAGCAAATGGTCGTAACAACAATAGTGCACCACCAGTCGTATGCGCTTCCTTGCGAGTTTTTGGCGGCATGCCGCCGTTAACGTTGCTGCTCCCTGCGAGGTACCTGAGAGCCTTGTCCATTGTTGATCCTGGCTGGCTGCTAGCTGCTGGCTGCTGGCTTTTGATTTTGAATTTCATTTTTAGAGCCCCGCTTTGAAGATGCTGTTGCTGTTGTTGTTGTTGTTGATGGCGTAGGGTAATGCAACCGCAATTGTTTGCATGCTCGTATTGTTGCCAGTGGCTGGCTTCGACAAGGTTTTGGCATGTGCACCGATTTTAATAATGATTTGCCCTGTTGGGTAGGTAAGTAAGTACGTTAAATGAGTTGACGCAGTTGTTGTCATGCAGATGCAAATGCGGATGTTCTTAGAGCTGGCGTTGCATAACAGCTGCGGCATTGGCAACACTGCCCATTTGTATGTTTTCTCTACGAATTGGCTTGAGTAGCGTGTAGCGGAATTAATAAGAGGAGTGGCTAAATTACTTTTGAGAACAACGGAGCAAGCATAATATTTTTAAACACAATTAATAGTTTCTGTAAATTGTAGTTAAATACCAAAGCGGCCGGCAAAGTTGTTCGTTAACATGGCGGTCACCATATTGTTAGCTGCCAGCTAATAAGCAGCATACTTTTGATCACAATTGTATACCCTCTCTACTATTATATCTAAAAACAAGATAGCAGTATCTCCCACCAGTTTAATTAAAATTCGAAATGCACGAAAAGTAAACGCTTGCATAGATAAAGCTAATGACAATTGCACTCTTGTAATGTTTTTAAATTCAAAACATTTTCTACTCCATTTTAAATGCATCAACTATTCATTGTATGTGTGATTCGTGTGAAAATCCCTTCCCTAGCGCCATTGCCAGCATCCTTCGAGGAAAATGTTCACTGCTGGCATGTAAGAAAGCATAATGTACCCACATTAACAAGCACAGACTTTGATGAGCCCGCTCTAATCATGTATAAACAAACATCAATCAGCAACGAAAATATGAAGATTTCAAGGGAAATCCTCAAATCGCACCACTAAATAATTGTGTGGAGCGACAAACGTGTACATTTACAATTACAAATTACACAAACTTATCGAAGACGCCAATAGAGATCAACAAAAGGCACGAACCCCCAAGAAGCGGGCACACCCGACCCATAATCAATAAAAGCGTTAAAGTGAGAAGTGAGAACAATCAATCGAACACGTTCTAACGATTTACATGTCAAGTTGACAGACAGCGGCCCAAAGACAATGGAAACAGATAACTGGGCGCAGGATACGCGCCGAGGGACAAACAATGGACTCTCGGCGTGTGTGTCCAGGTGCGCGCTTTCGAAACTCTTCAGTTGCACTTTCATTTGTCACAGGCGCTTGACACCTTGTTTCCTATGACATACAAGTTGAGATAGTCATCAGGCGAGGGTACAGCCATATCCCCGGCCCGAAATACCCCAGACTTGGCGGTGTATGTAAACACAGTTGTGTGGCATTTGAATATCGTTACAAAATCGTTGGGCATCGATTTCTGCCTGGTTGTAATTATGCATTGGACTGGATTGGAGGCAATCTCATCATAAGTTTCGGTTCGTTTATCGCTCGATGACAATCAGTCTCATTGTTTCCGCTTCCCACCACACACACGCATACGAGTAGAAGGGCATTCTCGGGGCATTCTTGCGTCTTTTCGAAAAGTATTTCTTGTGTCTGGCCTCCCCAACCATCGCCAGCTGCAGAGCCCTTGCCTGCGAGGTAGTAAATTTTATGGTTAACTACGTCGACATTTGTGCTATTTAACCTTTTGTGCGACGCTTATCAAGCCAAGTCGCGCTGAGCTTGCGAGCCTGTTCGGCTTTCCGCCTTTCCGCCTTCCCGCCTGCCCGACTGGCCGTCCGGCTGCGCTTCACGTGCGCGTTTTGTTTGTGGCTGCCTCCTCGTATGTTAATATGTGCCAAGTGTTCCGATATTTTAATTTGCTTTGTGCTTTGTTGTGTTTGTACAAGATCTACCCATAATTTGTTTTCGAACAAAATTCACTGGGGGGTTTTCAGAGACCGTCTGGCGATTTCGAATGCTTGATATGAAGCACAGCAAGTCTTCTTCATAGCCAACTGTCCGATAAGAGGATAATAGTTTCCAGGAATATTGCATTTGCTATTTTCGCAGGTGATAAACCATTATCAATAATAGACTTACAGAGTGGATTGTGTAAGAAGGTGGAGAGACTTTTCTATATACTATATAATAACTTCTTTAAGTAGTTAAAAAAGACGTATAGGCTTCATTTCCTACTTTTTGTGGACTATATTATAATTCCCATTATTGCTGGAAGAAATAGTTCTGTATTACAAATTTAATTTACTCACCCTCTAAGTAATTCTAAAACTTTCCGAGATTCGACCTAATTTCGCAGCATTCTAGAGTAAGCTTCTTGCTTCGTTTTTAGCAAATATTAATCTCTTGTTCTTAACCTCCTTGAAAGAGTAGTGAGAGAAACATTTGACTGTAAACAATTTCAACTCTATAGCTATAATTCTTTCTTATAAATGGCTTTTACCTACTTTTGTTTCAATTGATTACAGCGAAGAAATTAATAATAATACAGAACAATATTCCAAATATGTATAAGTTGTCAGTCTTCATGAATCTAAGAATCTATCTTTTACTTGTAAGCAACAAATTATTTGTTCACCGTAAACCTGTATCTTTCTGACCGGCTTCAAAAAAAGGAGAGTGTTATCAATTCGCCTGTGTTTTATTTTATTTATTTTTTAAATTGAGTCCCGAATTAGTTGGCTATGGGGCTGAGCTCATTTCCAGTAGGCATGAGAGGCAGACACCTTCCGACAACAAACACTGAAAATACGTAAAAGAACAGAACAAAAAAATTATAAACAGAAATCACTTTCGGCATCAAGTATTCGTCTGTAAACACAAAAACACCAAAACCATTTGTTTAAATTTCGGCCATGGAGGAGTACTCACGTGAGCCGTGTCCCTATCGCATTGTCGACGATTGCGGCGGTGCCTTCGCCATGGGTTGCATTGGTGGCGGCATCTTCCAGGCGCTTAAGGGCTTTCGCAATGCCCCCTCGGGCCTGGGGCGCCGACTGGTGAACAGCATGGTGACTGTGAAGTCGCGGTCGCCCGTAATTGCGGGCAACTTTGCGGCCTGGGGCGGCATGTTCAGCACAATTGACTGCACCCTGGTGCACTTTCGCAAGAAGGAGGATCCGTGGAACTCGATCATCAGTGGTGCGGCGACTGGCGGCATACTGGCCGCTCGTAATGGTCTGGCAGCTATGGCGGGAAGTGCCATCATTGGAGGCGTTCTTCTGTCGCTCATCGAGGGTGTGGGCATCATCTTCACACGCATTTCGGCCGACCAGTTCCGGAACCCGACGCCCCCCGTCGATGACCCCAGTGCTTTGCTGGATGAAGCTCCTGTGAGCAAGGGTCCCTTTGGCTTTGGTGGCAGCAGTAGCAGCGGTGGTGCCAACATCAATACCTAAATTAATTATCACTTCCCTGTATGGCAAACATTAAACAGCTTCGGTAGCTCTTGACAGTAGAAGCCGGGTAGTAGTTACAGGTAGTTTCAATGCCACGCACTTGAATATGAATAAGGTGCGCTCTTAAATGACTGACTGACTGGCTGGCTGACTGACTCACTGGTTGGCTGGTGCTGAGGGCGGACTTGTGAAATTGGCAAATATTTACCTGTTCGCAAGTCCTGCGTCTGTCACCTCTCGAGTGCTTTGTTTACCTGTGCAGCATCGCAGGCGCGCAGGTTGCGCTGCAGGAGCTGGCGCATAGAGTCAAGTGGCCAGACCTTTACAACCTGTCCACTTGAGATGACCGCAGTGTGTGCCAGCAGAGCTAATGATTGTGATGAGTGCACACACACACACACTTCCACACACTTCCACACACATACATATGTATTCCCACTTTGCCGCGCAATATTTGATGAGAAAACCAAAATGCATAAACACACAAGGATTCCCCTACCACACAGCACATGTGTGCGCAAAAGGACATGGGAAAAAGTCACATACGTGTACGCGTACGAGCCCAGTTATAAAATCGCGCTTTATGATAATGCCACTAATTTGTGCAGGGAAATCGGCAGGGAAATTTCTTGAATAACCGCCAGACAGCCTGGTGCCTGGTGCCTGGTGCCTAGTGCGTAGTGCCTGCCTTGGTATGTACCTCTTAGCACGGGTCACACGAAATCACGCTGCCTCACGGGCTGTCTCACACGGTCAACATATGCAATATTTGTCGGGCTGGCTGTCTGGCTGGTTGGTTTGTTTTTTTTTTCTACGGTCTGTTGCCTCGGCGCTAATGTCTAATGTGTGAAATTCTACTTCCTTGAGAATTTCCTTTGGCTGGCGCCGTGCGGGGAAAACGCACGAGGCAACCATCATATGTTGGCATCGACAGCATCAACATCAACAGCCTCGCACCTACCTTTGGTACGTGATATGCACATTCGTGAGCCAAACAATCGCATACAGACCAGACCAGACCAGACATACATATGTGCCTGCTGTGCGCCATGCCGTGTCACGTCGCTTGTTTTCCCAACTTTTAGTCGGACATGCTCGTACTCGTACTCGTCTACTCACATGCCTGTAGCTTGTGCCATGTATACCTTGCCAAAAAGGTAGAGGCGCTAAAATTTGTTTTAACAAGGCGCTGCTGGTGAGCTCTGTTATCAGACTGTTCTACGCTCACGTGTTGGCAATATGTTGGCATAAGCCATGGGCCCAGACTTGGCCATCAGGAATGCAGTGGTATGCAAAGAAACAAAAGATTTCAATTAAGGCGGAAACTGAAAAGTCTAACATTGCAGTTGATCCTGTGAATACAATTAGCTGCCTGCCTTTATCCCACGCTATTCCTTTTATTATAAAATGCAGTTTCTCAAGAACAAGACTCTCGATTGCCTTACACTTTGACTTTTAGTGTAAGTATTATTTAGAAGCTTGATTTATCAACATGTCAGAGATGGTCTGCCTGTCCATCTGTTTAGTTTTTGAACCCAAGAATATTTTAGAAACTAGAATCACAATTTTTTTTATGCATTATTATTTTTATTATTATTGTATTTTTTCTCTCAGAACCGATATGTATCTACATACAACTGACATACTTCTTTTCCCTTTGGGTATAGGGTATAAAAATAGGGAATTTTAAGCAGTCGATTTCAAACTTAAGCTACCGTTGAATTAAATAGTTAGGTTATTTTTTCATCGGTACCATGCTTGTTTATTGATTTTAAATACACATATGTGTTAGTTAAAATTTGAATAAAGTAATTACTAAGTTTATAAAATATTACTTTTGAATATTGCCACAAAATTTGATCAAAATCGGTTCAGCAGTTTCGGAGTCTATAGCGAATATGCATAACTACTTTTTTATATTAGATTACACAAAATAGAGTAAAGAGCATCGTTAAAGTATTTAGAACAATTACAAAATATAGCACTCCGACTCATATTAAAATGTATTTATTTATTTCATCGACAAACAATGCAGTCGAGGTAAAAGAAAAAAAAGAAATATATATGTATATAAAAACAAGATAGAACGCTACAGTCGAGCAAGCCCGACAGTAAAATAGCCTGTACTCTCCACAAAAAAAGAAAAATTTTTAAAAAAAATTTAATTATTAAAAAAAATTAATGAATTAATTAATTAAATTAAATTAGAATATATGTTTATGTTTAGTTTTAACAGCATACATTTACATCACGTACCTATGCGTGTTTATATGCGTGTATGTATGCAGCACAAAGTTGAACCAAAGCAGCAACAACAACAACAGCTGCGGGCAGCGCTGCCGACAGAGGCAGCGCATGAGCAGCGATTTTACTTATGGCTATAACTTTCTTCAGAATTGACCTATCATGATGAAATTTGGCACACGGACACATTAGTACTAACTGGATGTACCTACCAAAATTGATTTCAAAATTCTGAGAATTACGGAAGTTATAAGAAAAAACACGAATTGCGGGGGAGTGGGGGGGTGCATCGAAAAAAAACTCAAACTCGTACTTTCTCGGTCTTAGGAGAATATGGAAACCAAGTTTGGTTATTCTAGCTCTTATACTTTCTGAGATCCTTGCGTTCATACGGACCGACGGACAGACAGACGGACAGACAGACGGACAGACGGACGGACGGACAAGGCTATATCGACTCGGCTTCTCATCCTGATCAAGAATATATATACTTTGTGGGGTCTGCCACGCCTCCTTCTGTGTGTTACATACATGCGCACAAAACTAGTATAGCCTTTCACCCTTTGGGTACAGGCTATAAAAAACAATGCAATAGGGAACTTAAACTAAATAAAACTAAATAAATAAAACAGCCCGTAATGACAAAAATATCTAATAGCGAATCCGACACGACGAGGGAACCATTGCACATTTTATCCCCCTCTAAACACTCTATTAATAGTATTGCAATTAATATTATGCATAATTTCTATAAACGCCAAATGATTTTATTCTTGGCAGATACTAAAATTATAAACAATTATCCACACTTCTCACTTCTCGAAGCTAAACTCTGATAGCTGCTTGGGCTTTGTAATGATAAAATTCTGAATCAGCGAGGTTAAGAGCTTGGGTGGTTAAGTCAATACTGTTAGTGGAATTTCTATTATTTCTAGGATGGAAACCAACAAGGCGAGTTAGGTTTAAATTACTTAAAACCTCTGAAGTTCAGATTTGTCGAAAAGAAAGGCCATAAAGAGTGCTAACCAAACAGTCGCTTATACTTGTACAAGTATGTGGTGTCCAGCACGACTTTTCACATAAACAAGACCCTGTTAGAGCCAATTTTCACACGTTTCCTTCGGCCCAAGCCGTGGGCCTCACACCTACGCACAGCATTCACACACATGCCCGGCATATGGTTGGGCAGCCAACAGAACACCTCAGTCAACGCGGTTGTGGGATGTGCGCGGGCGGGAAAAAACATAAGCCGGGAAGATACTATATGCCAATAGAGCCGTAGAACGTGCTGGCAAGGCACTGAGGGCAAAATTGTTTTGCATGCTGCGCCCGCATGGCGCTAAACACGGGCTATGGATTTGAGAAAGAGCTGCGAATAGTTTGAGACTCTGAAGAGCAAACCTTGGCACATGTCAATGCCAAACATTGAACTGCGCGCTTGAAAGGAATTTCGCCGACTTTGTGGCACCTTTCACGAAATTTTTATCGTACGACATAGAACATTTTGAGCAGCTGCCTGTGCCTTGCATTAGAATCGGAGTCGGGGCTGCATTTGCATTTGCATTTCGTATGCTCGACTCGGCGCCAAAAATCTCATGCATATATGACACACATTTGCGAGAGCGTAGTACGCGCCACGCCCGCAGGCAGAATGCATTGATTATTGTATTGTTTTGTACTTGATTTTAGAATATCTTAAGTGCTTAGCGCATAAATTAAGAACGCCTGCGATCGGTGGGGTTCAAGGCGATGTGCTTGAATGGCCATTGCCAAGGCATGCCAACTGTACCTCTCGCTCTGATCCCAGCCGCACACGCCACGCTTTGTGCACTGTCCTTGAAGTCTAAGATCAACATCATCAAATTGTTGCAATAGTTTTGCAGCGCAATGACTTTTTCGCATATCAAAACGATATAGCATTTGCATTTCCAAATTTCGTTCCTGTGTGTCAGTATCGCATGATGTTCATCGCATTTTAATTTTAATCGCCATCGCCAACGCCAACACCAATGGTTTCTGATTGTTTTGTTTTCATTTTCATTTCGCGCCGTATGATATCATGCATGCATTGAAAGTCAATTAAATCAATGTAAGCTTAACCCACTGGCACGCTCTGCCTGCATGGCTGTCTGCAAAAATCCCACAATAATGTAAAATACCCGGCATATCAAACGCCGTTCTGAGTCCCAGAATACGTGCACCTTTTTCAAATAAACTTCATGCATATATGTACATATACACTGCCGAACACATCTATAGGACACGTTTTCTTTATAAAATCTGAGGATGGTCCTTCTTATTAATCAGCCTGTTTGAAAGAAGTTTCCAATGCAAATGTTTCATTACAAATTGATTCAATACTTTTAAAGTACAAACTGAAATGCATGAATATTTAAAAATAGTTTAAAAATCCCTATCTTTAAACATTTCCAACTAATCAATTTTATTCACTTAAAAATATTTTGTCAAGAATTATTAAATTAAATGCATTTTCTGATACAACCACAAAGGAGACACGATCTCTACGTAAGTGCTGGGCATTCTGGCATTATTTGTTATACGAAAAATTTAAATATTTGTAAAATTTTGTTTGTCAGAACTGTGTCTCAGACTCAGGTGTTAAAATGCATAAAATGTTTTTTATTTGTTATTTGTATACTCTGAACGCGTAGGGTATATTAGGTTTGTGCAAAGTACAGGTAGAACGGAGCATCACCCACCCCATAAAGTATTGTTTATCAAATTTCATTTAAAACTGATGATTCTAAAAAAAGATATCAGCGAAACAATTTCATTATAGTAATTCGCTCACAAGCTAAAGGAGAGGGC